GAAAAAATTAGCCGGGCATGGTGGCACATTCCTGTAGTCCCAGCTACTCAGGAGGCTGAGGCAGGAGGATCGCTTGAGCCCAGGAGTTTGAGGTTGCTGTGAGCTAGGCTGATGCCATGGCACTCTAGCCCGGGCAACACAGTGAGACTCTGTCTCAAAAAAAAAAAAAATCCTTCTTGCTCAATTCACCCTATCTTCAGGGGCTACCTGGGTTATAAAGGTCAAATAATTAGATCCTTCCTTGGAAGGAGAGGATGGGTAAATTCACACCTAATGGGTACCATGCACACTATCTGGGTGATGGGCACAGTTATAACTTTGACTCAAACAGTACAAAAGAAAAGTATGTAACCAAAACATGTATACCGCTGTAATATTCTGAAATAAAATTTAAAAAAATATGGACAAGCCCTCTTAAGTCAATTCTGCTTTAGAAAATGTGAACACATTATCTGTTTTTCCTTCTTTTCTCAGCACTGATATAGTGGTCTGTCAGGACAGTGGAGGGTACTTTAAAAGAGAGAGAGAGAGAAAAGGGGTTTCAAAGGCCAGGCTCACTCAACAAAAAGGTGTTCACTTAAAATACTTTGTTTTAATGAACACTGTGAAAATATCATCTGGAACTTATTGAAATGGTATTGATATAAAACCATCTACTATAAAGTCAAGATACTCTCTGGTCATCTATGTACTGTCTCTGGTTTGGAAATAAGTAAATTCAGACTCATACCATATGGAATAATAGGGAAAAGGAAGTCATAGGCTACAAAATCCAGTTTTATGACTTACTAACAATCTGACCTTGGGCTGGCTACCTACACTCTGAACTTCAGTTTCCCCATCTATATAACAAAAATAGAAATTGTTACTACCTCACGTAATGTGAGGATTAAACGAGACAACATACGCAAAGCCTGTGAACTCATCCATGAAACAGGCATAACAATATCTACCAGGTAAGGTTGTGGTCATAGTGGAAATCCAACATGCCAAGTCCTTGGTGTGCACCCACATCAAGTAGACTCTTAATAAAGAGCATTAACAGTTCTGCTGGGAAGAAAAACAATCATGTTCTCTCCTCCCAATTAAGTTGATATATAGTTGATCAGGAATCCAGAAACAGATGCATTAGGTAGTAAGCTGTATTTACACAGTTCTCTTGTCAACCTCTCCTATGCAGTGTTGAGGGACAAGAGGCAAGAACGACAGTGGGAACTTCAGTTTAATCTCTGTCTCTGTTATTATTTTCCATAATGAAAGCCATTTTGAGAAACTGATTTCTATTAGGTCAAGCACTACATTTTATTACATAAAATACAACAGAGAATGTGATACAGTCCTGTCTTGGACAAAAATAAGGTGGATAGCAATATTCCTCACAGTAAAGACAACTGGGGAATGAAAATTTCCTTTACTTACTAAAGCTGTTTGGCTGATGCCAACTCTCCTCTTAAATGCCTTAAAAAATCTTCAGATTTTCAAGGTATCCAAACCCAATACACTAATAGACTTTTTAAAAACAGCCAGTGCTTAGTACCCAGATCCAATCAATCCTGGATCCTGCCCACCTTCTGAGGGGCAGAGGGGCAAATTATATTTCCAAAAAAAAAAAAAAGGAATTCAATTCCAGAAATAAAACCACTAATGAAAGTTGTAATTAAAAGTGGGGAGAGAATATTCTAATTAATCACCTAATGCAATGAAGAGTTATTATTTTATTCCTCATAGTTTACGTCATCCGCCTCACTCCCAACAGGTCAAATTTAATATTTCTTTTGATAGCTCTGTAGCTCCTTTCTCACATGGACAAGCTTTCGGGGAATATTTTCCTCTCTAGTAATACCCATCTTGAAAACAAAAAGGAATTGGAAAATTACTCCTGAACATTCTGTATAAATCATCACTCTACCCAAGGTATGCTAATACAAAGGCTGCACTTCTCAGCAAGGTAACATCCCCCATGTGCTTCAAGGAAGTACCATGGACAGCTCCGGCTCCCTCTGCTAACCTGGGGCTGTGAGTCTGGCCTGAAACCAGGACAGTTGATGAAGTACTTCCTTGACATCTTTTGTCATAATGTGTAAGTATATCTGCTATTAACTAGAATAGCAGTGTAGCAGAGGAGGGGAGGGTAAGGGAAAAACAGGAGAAAGAGCTCACTTTTGTTCTAGTTCCTCAAGGTAGCATCTGACAGAAACTCATTTATCTCTTTGGCCAGGTAAAGTCAAGCGTCAGGAAAACAACTCTCCCCTCTGTCTTGGCATATGCTGCTTCTTCCTGACTTAGCTCTCTGCTTCCAGCTCCTGTCCTTCTCATCCCTTCTCCACTCTGGTGTCAGAGTGACCTTGATAAAATGAAAAACTGACTGAAATCTCTGTCCTCCTTACAGTATCCTCAAGATACAGTCCAACTTCTTACGTAAAAAGTATGTCATCACCTGTCTCTATTCTGCCTCTCCTGTTTTTATCTTCTATCATATTTTCACATGTACATTCTTTCAGCTAAATTGAGCTTCTTCTTGTGGATCCCCAAATCAGCCAAGCTCTTAAATGTGCTTCTGCTGCTCATCCATCTAAAATATCACTGTCTTTCAGACTCGGCTCAAACGCTACCTGAGAAGATGTCCCCTGAGCGCTGCCCATGCCCATCGCCCCACCCTGTCCAGCTGTTTTCCGTGCTCACATGGCATGATACATAGCTCTCGGACAGTGTTTTCACTCCGCCTTGCGATTACTGGCTGATCTCCTACTGAATTCTTTGAAGTCACAGACTGCATCTCATCTCCATCCCTAGTATCTAGCTAAGTTCCTGGTACACAGGCATAGCTGACACTCAGTTCCTATTAAATTGAACAACACAATCACTGGAGAAGTTAAAAAAAATTAAATAAAAATAAAACACCACCCCAGCAACATAATGACAAAAGGACTTAAGCTGCTGACTCCTCCAGACTCATCATGCCACATCCCATACCTCACTGTTATAGTTCCTTCTGAATACATTGGCCTCTACATTTAAGGCAGCCTCACTTCTTTGTCATATGGTTTTACTGCCCTTCACACATAACGGTAATTAGTACTATCTGTGCTCACAGGTTGTAGCTGAAAAAGCTAGCTTATAAGTCCATATTCCAAGGTCAGGAGACTAAAAACTAAAAGCGTTTCCCATAATACAAGGAAAGAATAAGATGATCCAAAATAATTACAAAGAACAGCAGCTCCTGCCACAAACAAAGAGACTGTCAAGTCATTCCCAGAATGAAAGAAAGTTTGTGTCAACGGAGTAGTAAGTTAAAAACAATACTGATGACTAGACTGCTTCTATAAAGGGGAAAGTTAAGACACTCCAAACTATTCTGTCCCAAATTTGTATCTACATTTTGGTAAATGATTTAGGCATGAAGATCAAACACTTCTTTGTATGATTCCTACAAACCACTTTTCCTCCAGATGTGAACTTATTTTACGATTATTTTGCCATGTATGGAGTTTCTGTGTGACAGACTAGGCTAGGTTCTGAAAATTCAAAGTCCATATATTTCTTACCCAGAATAACAGTAAAGTCCAGAAGGAGATGCAGTTGTCTGGTTTTATCTCCTGAATCTGGTCCTAAGGAGCTTCAACAACCTTGGATTGTCTGTGTTGCAGATCGAAGCCTGCTCTCTTCTTCCTTCTCCCCTCCATTCACAGAGTACTATGTAGTGGGCCTTTTCTGACAATTAAACATAATGTCTACAACAACAGTATTACCAAAAGGGCCCTACATACTTTGAAACTGAATGCTATTGTACAGCATCCTTGGACTTCAAGTACTAATCCAGTGTATGTTCTTTTCATTAATTTTAATATAGATCAAAATATATGTGAATCTGCTAAGAGGAGATTTAAAAAAAAAAAAGAGTTACAATAAAATAGCTAGAAAGAGTGCTTATTAGTTGACGTCCTCCTGAGAGACAGATACTTGTATTGGTTACCTACATGGCATGTAACAAGTAAGTCACAGCAACATAAATGATCTTTTAGATGAAAAGTATTTTTAAAAAGTTACCTTTGCCTTAACCACTTTTAAACCACTTTTGCTGATGGCAAACTCTGCAGAGGCCATCTGCAATTCCATCCCCTGCTTGCCTATCAGCCAAAAGATACCAAAAATGCCTGTTCTTCCCTTGTTATTCTCAGTCAAAGCAACCTGACACTGTAGGACCAGTGGGTCATTACTGACTTGGTAAGGTGCCTCTTTGAATGGTAGAAGAAGCAGTTTCTGCAACAGATATTCACTGACATCTCACATGCAGGCATTTTATAGGGTATTCAGGATAAAACTGACAGATCTTCTTCTTCCCCAGGAGTACTTTTTTTTTTTTCTGAGATCACAAAACAGGAAATTAAAGTGCTTAACCAAAAACCCCCAATAGGAAATACAAATCTCTGGAACATTTTAATGACATGAATATCTCCCAAATGCCTAAATATATTTCTTTAAAATGAGTTAAGAGAAAATGACATTCTCTTTCATAAGACCCAAGCACTTAAATGTCCTGCTCTAGAAAATGACCTCCCTGACCCAGAAAATAATAAATTAAGAGCTCAAATAGCCTTCCTCACCCCCCACCTTTCAAGTGCAGCTTTCTACCTATAGCAAATAAATGAAAAGGAGCCAACCCCTTCGCGGCGACTACTCGGAGAGGCATTAATCGCTTCCAGAGGGGATTAATGCATTTGTGGGTAGTCACAGTATAGGATGCTGTCAAACCTCTTTGGTCCTCCCCAAAATGGAATCATGTTTCTATCCCCACGAGGTTTTCTCTTTATGGTTATTTTCCATGCATTGATCTGGGTTTTCTGCCATCCTTTCAGAAGAACACAGGGTTCAGCCTCCTCCCTATAATTGCTGCTGTCCAAGAGGTGTGACAGCCTGAAGATCTCTAAAGAAAAGATACCAAGGGTTATACAGGGCATCTTTCAGTCCAAAGTGGTAATGGGAACAAGAGCCTTCTCTACCTTGCAGGTCAGCTTTGGTCAATGCAACTTTGTTAGCAAAAGAACAGAAAAAGCGAAAACAATAACCAGAGGTTAGTAAGAGGTAGAATAAACCAGGGTAACATTACAGAAATGAAAATGCAATCTGCATAACCGACATCACTCAGACAGACAACTGAAAAGCTCTACAGGTTCACTAGACACGGCACAGATGGGGCAGGGAGAGGAGGGGGTACGCACAGACCAGGGGCGGGGCAGGACTCCTCAGAGCCAAGTCAGCAGAGCAGGGACAGGAAAGTACCGGACTTGACAAAGCACAAGCAATGGGCAACAAGAGCCTTCCCACATCCACACAGCCAACCCCAAGGCATATGGTCCAGAAATAAGGGTAGTGTATGGCCAGACTGAAAGACACGTATGCACAATCAGATGGGGCCCACAAAAAATCATTCTGAACATTTAGGAGTTGAGCATGAAGAATCACTTGAGCACACCCCTTGTACTCTTCAGCAAATGCCAGCAAAGAACATGGCACCAGAATTGGACGTTTGTATCAAGGTGATTTGGGAACACCAAAGATCTCAATTTGTTTAATTTTTAAAAATACTGCCAAACTCAAATGGTTGTGGGCACTGAACCAATGCCCTTTTTAGGCACCGAACCAATGCCCTTTTTATTTATTCATGTCAGTATGGAAACGAAGCACGTGTGTTTCTCTCAGATGTTGCCCATCTGCAATTGTAGAACAGCATTTCTAGCCAATAATGCCTCAGCCTCTGCAGCAAAGCTGGCCTCAAGACAGGAAGAGATATTTACCAGCCAAATAGTAAATCAGGCATTATTTGTTTAAATCCTAGCTTAAACTGAGAGGTAGCAAGTCACAGATAAATGTTGGCTAGAAGTTACCCAGAAATTGCACTTAATTTCTTACCTATACACTCGGCATATATTAGAGACATAAAATCGAAACCTAGTTCAAGACTTTTTGCTTTATTTGCTACAAACAATTGAGAGCCAACGTGTAGTGGATTAATAGGCTTTTAAAAATAATTGTGGACTCTCTTGCCTTTTATCTGTTGTCATGTGTCTGATATAATAGTGAAAGTAATATATTTACTACATAAGGATCTTGAAGTATCATTATCAATAACTTTGACAGAAATATATACATGTATATATACATATATGTATACATATATATATCTCCTGCCCTGTGATCTGTGTATTCCAGATTTGTTAGAATAAAACATATCTTGAAAAGACCCTACCTGTTTACTATTCTGCACATAGAAATGATAAATCACAAAATGTGTTCTATTTCCTAGGGTTCCCATACTGCCCAATAATACCCAAGGCTTTCTTGGGGGTCACGAGCCCTGTCTAAGAGAGTCACAATGAGAACTGGCACCGTTTTGCGGTCCCTCCAAGGTTTTTCACTCTTCATTGACCACCTCATCATCTTCCACAGAACCCTAAAAACTTCCTGGGATCTCTTACAAGGGCTTATTCACAATGGCACAAACTTCCTATGACAGTCATTTATGCCTTAACCTACTTTGGGGCCATTTTTCCTGGCCACTTAGGCTAATTATCCAAGTCATTTGTGTACAATCAACAAGGACCTTCTTCCCTTAGCATTCACCCTCCACTTCATCCCACCCAGCGGGACAGTCATAATGCTCAATGGGTAACCATCCTAATTATCTCCATGGCAATAGAGTGCAGTGCTATTAGGCTCATGGGACTGGCCATAGATTCAGATGGCAGAGCCATCAAGTCACAATATCTGGCTTTGAACAATCAACCATACTCAGAGGAAGGTCAGCACCCTCTGTAATGCATGTAATAAGTAATGCCAAACTGCACATAGAGCTGTAGGTTGGGATATGGACATTTTCCCCAATTTGATAGGTAATTTCACTTTTCTGATGCTCTCACTGCTTCTCAAAGCTCTCTTAAGTAGGGTCGTCCCCCTCCTTATCTTATACGTTTTAGTACACATTTGTAAAAGTTAGTTTAGACCTCCTTTTAATCCAGTACTACAGCTTTAATTTTCTTATACCCTAAGTTTTGTATCCTATATAGAGCTGTGCTTTCAATACAATAGCTATTGACACACGTATTAAGTATTTCAAATGCACGTAGTCTGGTTGAAGTGTGCTGCAAGTATAAAATATACACTCAATTTTGGAGACTTCATATGAAGAAAAGAATGTAAAATATTGATAATTTTATATCAATTATATGCTAAAATGATAATATTTTGATATATTGGGTTAAGTTAAATAAAATATAAAATTAAAATTAATTTGACCTGTTACTTTATACCTTTTTTAAAAGTAGCTAATAGGAAATTTAAAATTACATGTGTTACTTATAGTTCTCCTGGGTAACACTGCTAATGTGTTAAATGGATAATTCCGATTAACTTTTAAATCTGAAGAACTGATGGCATAATAAAATATTTATTATGGTGCTTTATGCTTTTTAACATGATAATATTTTGATATATTGGGTTAAGTTAAATAAAATATAAAATTAAAATTAATTTGACCTGTTACTTTATACCTTTTTTAAAAGCAGCTAATAGGAAATTTAAAATTACATGTGTTACTTATAGTTCTCCTGGGTAACACTGCTAATGTGTTAAATGGATAATTCTGATTAACTTTTAAATCTGAAGAACTGATGGCATAATAAAATATTTATTATGGTGCTTTATGCTTTTTAACATGTGCTTTTATATTGTGATTTAACTTGGTATGATTTCTTATTCCAGGACAACCGGAATGACTATCATTCCACAATCTCCTAACCTAAGATACTCAATTTAATTCCAAATGCTGCATCTATCCCAGGATTGCCCTTTAACATTCAAAGGAACTAAGAGCAAGCCGATGAGACAAAAATTCTTGAGTTGAGCGAAATTGTGCATTTCTAGGAGAAGAAAGCAAAGTGGCTACTTTAAATGCTTGGTGATTCCCAATTTTCTGTCCCCCATATGCGCACACACACACACACCACATACACACCATATTTGGCCAACAACATTTAAGAAATATTTCTGGTTAAAGGAAAAATGGAGTGGGTTCAAGGGATGGTCAGTCTTGTTACTAGTGCAACGTAGAAAACTGACTCTCAGGCAAAGGGAAATGACTTCCATCACTATAAATCAGCCTGACAAGCTGACGGGAAGCTTGCATAAAAATGTGCTTTACGGTGGTGAGCGAACCCAGATGGAAGCTGGTTAAGAACAGGAGCGATACATGAAGCTGAACACAAAAGATGAATGAACAGGTTTGATGTGGTAAATTAACAAGTGATACAAGAAAACACAACATATTGCACAAAGGACCATGAGGCTCAACCAGAGGAAAGAATACACAGACCTTTGATACCAAGCCTGCTAAGGAAGGCTGAATGTGTTCACTCCTACCCTCTGCTGGTTAAAACTAGATTGCTTTTATTGCAAAGAACTGCTGGATTCAGGAAGACCTGCAAAATGCAGTTAACAGCTCAAGAGACACTGTATCATCTGGCTGAGCATGGCTTGTTGTGCTGCATGCGTAGGCATGCAATGTTATTAGATGTCTTACATGAGATAATATTTGTAAACAATAATCCCACTGTTTATCGAGTACCTACTATGTACCAGGCATTTTATGTATACCTCTGATTTGCTTATATTACAGGGTAAGTTTTATTGTCCTGTTTTGAAGGTGAGAACGATGTAGCTCAGGGAGTTTAAGTCAGTGGTCCCCAATCTTTTTGGCACCAGGGACCGGTTTCATGGAAGACGATTTTTCCACAGACTGGGGTGGCGGGGTGGGCAGAGCTCAGGCAGTGATATGCGGCCTGTCTCCTAACAGGACATGGACCAGTACTGGGCCGTGGCCCAGAGGTTGGGGATTACAGGTTTAAGTAACTTTCCAAATGTCATACAGCTAACAAGAGCTATTATCTGGACTTGAATCCAGGACTTTCTAACATCAAAGCCCATCATGTTCCACTACACCGCACTAAGGAACTGCCTAACAATGCCTGATATCTAGTAAGTACTTAATAAATGTTAGTTCCCTTCCATCATCATGGCATTCTGACATCGTTTCCCTATCTCATTCTAGATTTGCATTAAATAATGCAGTTACTATCAGCCAAAATAAGAAAAATTTTATTAATGATGACACCCATATAAAGTCTCTGGTCTGCCCCTCATCATGTATTAAAATATAAATAAAAGTCTCTGGTGTCCTTTCAGCCATTCTGGGAGCAAAGATACAATTTTGGAGGAGCCAGATGTCAATGCCAGGGAAGGTGTGTTATTGGCAAGTATGTGATACTGGGAAAACATCTGCCAATATACATTCCTGGAGCCTGTGGCACACGTCTTGACAAGATCAACCAGTGACAACAAGAGGACACCAATGGTGATGCAATGTCTGATGGCAAATGGGAATGAGAAAGGACTGGTAAATTAAGGAAGGAGGCACTGGCAGAGGCAGCAAAGGGGCTTGGTGCTTGCAACAAGGCTATAGCTTAAAAAGAAAAAAAATGTTGTACCTTCACAGCCACGTTCTATCTGTCCGCTCCGATGGAGGGCATCATTGATGAGGTCTGGCAGGCGCCCATTCAAGTCCACTGATGCCAGACATCCCTGAAAGCCATCCCGGGAGGCCACAAGCTTTGGGAGGTTGCTGTACATGCCTTGGGCCAGACCAGCCATGTAGAGGTCTCCTGGAAAAGAAAGGAAGTAGCAAAAGAGAATGAGTAATGGATATGGCAACCATGTCATCCAAAGCCAATGCACTTTAGACTGTTCGTTAGATACTGATAATATAGCTGGGGGAACAACAGCTTAAACAAAATAATCATCAGAGTTTCTATGTTGCAAAACAAAGAAACCAACATCTCTTATGTGTCCTTCATTTCATGCATGTCATCTCACGAATTTCAATCACCACAGATGAAACAAAGGTTAACGTTTTCAACAAAACAATCATTTATTCAGTGTTTTTTATGTGCTTGTTACCAATAATATGTCGATGGTTTTATAGACATTCCATTAAACCTCCTAACAACCCATACAAGAAGTAACAACTGTTATTCTCATTTTGAAAAAAATATGTATACATATATATATATGTAAGCTGAACAAAGTTAAGAAATTTTACCAATGTCACCCAGCCAGTAAACGATTCAGCTGAAATTCCAAAGATTGTATCCTTCCTCAATATTATGCACTACCACCACCCCCGTATTTTAACATTTATCATCTCATTCCTCAGCCCCCACAGCAAGACATTCCAGAGCTTATCAGGAAGAAAACCATTACTTGAGGAGTAGTCTAAGTAAAAATTGAATAAATTGCATTATGGTCTAACTGAACACTGTTAAAATAGGATATGCACGATGCATCAAAAAAGCGTGGTGCTCCTGACCTACAGTGTGCCTCTGGAAACAGCCTTTCCACTGTAAAAAAGGATCTAGGGGGGATAAACTTCTTCACAAGGTTTACCTTTCAAGTCCAGATTTTTGGCACCGTTGATAACCTGAGTGACCACTTTGGTGTCCACTTTCAGGCTGTGGGTGTTACTGTTGTCCCGAGTGATGACCACGTTGTGCCACTGGTTGTCATTCAGAGGGCGGTCGCTGTTTCCTTTAATCACATTGGGACCATTTCCGAGGTCAAACACATAGTGTATGTACCTAGGAGGGACAATAACCAGCCAATAACTTGAAATTCCCTGAAGTGGTTTAATGGCAACGTGTATGTGTAACTGTTGTTGCATTATACCAGTTTAGCAAAGGGGATGCCCTTTGCTAAACTGGTATAATGCAACAATAACTAAAGCTTGATGTATGGTTATATGAATAGTCAGATATATTCTATCATACTTCACTTTAATTCCATACCTGTAGAGTTTATTTCTTTAACACACCTAGTAATACAATCCAGAGCCAAAGTAGTATAGGTGGTACACTCCAAAATACTAGGGGGTGACAATTAAATTCGTAGTCAATCATGGATCTGTTTTTTCTTGGTTTTCATTTTGACTATTTTTCAATACAGGGTAGTAAATTGCCCTTTCTTAAAGAAAGGGCAGCTTTTAAAAATTGGCATATACAGGCTAATAGTAGAGCTAAAAATACCTATGTTTCATTTCTTGGTATAAATTTGGTGGTTGCAGTTGGTATTACCCAAGAGATAGATGCAACACACCCCAGAGCCCTCTTTTACAAAAATAATCTTTTCTTCTACAGTTTTAAAGAACTGCATTTCATAGTAAAAAGCCTAATAGTGTCAAGTTAGTGAAAGATCTTTAAATATAATCTTGAGCCTCTTTCCTTTCCCAAACTAAATCATTTTGTGTATCTTTTTGATCATTAAGTATGCTAGCATGTATCATGAGTAGAGGGTAGAGAATAGAATAGACAGTTTTTTCATGTCCATATTTTATGCAGGGCTTGAGTGAAGACACCCAGAATAAATTATGTGATCCCTTCTACTTACCCCTTGACCAGCTCGACTGCAATGAAGTCATTGCCATCCCCACTGTTGAAGAGAATGAAGCCATCGGCTGAGGTGGTCTTGAACTGGAAGAAGAGGTGCATGGAGGTGTAGGCCTGGAGCGTGGCCAGGCTCAGGTAGCTGCTCTTAGTCTTGAAAGTGACAGGGTCAGCGATGATGTTCCTCAGTCCAAAACGAGCCTTTAGCTCACAGTAATCAATGTCGCCATTTTTGCACAAGTCAATGTAGAGCAGGCCATTAAACATGAGGCTCTGCAGGTGGCCGATGAAACTGGAGGGAACGACGGAGATGTACCGTTTCTCAGTCATGATTCCTGTTTCAATATTGTGGAACTCCAAGCGGGTGTGGTCTCCCACCATTGTACCTGTGAAAATCATAAATGAGGTGCACACAGGAAAAGTTACCATATTTTGTCGCAGCATCCTTAGTATGTCTTTTAGGTGTGACTTGTTTCCACACAGAATATTCAGTTTTCTTGAGTGAGTTCCAGAAAACACAATGTTCGATATGGCAGTTACCTGAGGAGCTGAGGACTGGCCCTGCCCAACCTACAAGTTCTGAGTTCCATGCTCACGTAAGCTAGTCAGCACGGCCCATCATACCAAGGAAAATATAAGATCATGGGTTACCCAAGCTAAAAAATAAAACTATTAGTTTTCTCTATCCAGGAAAACAACTGGGCATCAATGTATACCATAAGAAGAAAGGTCTCTGCTGTTCTAACCCTTGGAAAGATACAACAAACAAGCCTTGGGCATTCACTACCAAATATTTCTTGTTATAATAACTCACCACCCAGTATTTGTGGAAAAGGTGCTATTGTAGAATAGCTGTTGATTTTACCTGCCCAGTGACTATTGTTTTATCTGATAATAATACCTAATTTTCCTTTAGGAAGCTACCTTCCCTGCTTGACCTTTCAACCATCTGGACTGGAAGAAGCCTACCCTAATCAAGCTACCTAGGCTGGAACACCCAATACATTTAATTTCCCTAACCATAGACTAAAAAAGTGGTCTATCGACTATCAACTTTAGTGTGCATCAGAATCCCATGGTGGGCTTAGTCTCCCCACTCCCAGAGCTTATAATTCAAAACTCTGGGGGGAGGGCTGAGAATCTGCATTTCTAACAAGTTCCAAGGCGATGCTAATGTAGCTGATCTATTAGTAGAGCTCACCCTTAGAACCACTGGAATAGTAACAAGCTAAGCTGGCCCCCAGCTACTGGGCTCCAGAGCTTTTGCTGGCACACTTAGGAAAGAGGCGTTCTTTTCAAGCAAGGCTTGCTGGGGAGGTAAGAAGACAGCCTAGAGCTCCTAGAGGCCATGTGATAATCAGCGGGGTCAGAAGACCAGTGACCCAGAAGATAGTCACGAAATGGAAAGAGCTTCTCTGTGCTGATGTTATTTGAAGGTCTAGATCCAGCCAGACACCTCTGGACTTTTTAAAAAACCATGTGGCACTGGACTCTTTTTCATGCTCAAAGCATTTGAGTTTCTGACATTTGCAAATGAAAGATCTCCAGCTAAGACAAAGCTCTTTAGACCTTTCATTACCTAGAAGAGGTGAGTCACTAGGGCAGAGGGGATGAAGAGGGCTTGAAATAAATACAATGAAATTTTAATAATGAAATACAACTGAAATTTTAATAACGAAGTCAAGGAAAACATTATTAGTGTGGCGAGAGTAGAAATGGGCTTCTTCAACATTTATATAGAAAAATCATGTTAAAATGTAACAAACCATGTTCTACTGCCAAGCATTAGAAGGAGGGGAAGGGGAAGGAGGATTCCCCTCTTCCTGCCCTCTCCTGTCTTTACCTTCCACAGTGAATAGACTCCCCTAGCAAGACACTTGTAGCATCTCTGTCTCTTTAGGTCCTCTTTCACAACTTTCCAGAGGAAAAGGAGTGACACACTCTGAAACATTAAGGATAATATTCTGCAAGGAGAAACTGTGTATGCATAGCTTAGCCCCTGACACTTCCTCCTCCTCTCCACTGGAGCGAGCTACCTTCAAGAAACACTCATTCTCCTCCACTCATCCACAGCCTGGGTGTTACAGGAGCAAGACTTACTTCCAGGGAGGATGCCTGTCCAGTCCTCAACGAGTATTGAAATGGGTTTAATCCTGAAGTTCAGTAGATGTAAGCAGTATTTTTTTAAATATCATTGTTGTCACTAACAAAAATGATATTTGATTTCCATCTGCCTTGCATTTTTTCTCTATTGGCTCAGAACTCAGATGATAAAAAACAGGAAGGGTTATATTTTGAGGGGTCCCTTAAACATCAATATCTGGGAGATTCAACCAGATAACACCCTTAGATGCTCATTATTAACTTCTCTTTGGAAACAAATTCAAACCTAATTCAAAGAATTGCTCATAAGCACAAAAATCAGATTTACATTTTATGAGCTTTTATGTGGTGTTTTGACAACTAGTGACAAATCACTTTCTTAAATAAGCAAAAATAAAATAATGATGTTGGATAGTTTAAATATAAAAGTGTAGTGTAGTAGAATGAAAATCAAAATGCAACATAAATCTGCTAACAATTGAATAACTAGGAAAAAAAATTACTGTATAAAATTATTTAGTATTGAAAATTGGACTGGTCATCAAAATGCAAAGTAATGTAACCTAAATTCACATGCTTTAAAATAGTGAAGCGATTGAAATAAACATCCAATGTTGATCTGGCTGTAACTGTGCATACCAGGAATGGGGGCTGGAGCTGGAGAATGAAGGGGAGGGGGAGTTACAGCCAATCTCCATGGAAACAGAGGAACTAAATTAGGATGATGCTGGTAGCCTTGCTAATTTTTATTTTACCAAAAAAAAAAAAAAAAAAAAAAAATTCTAAGATGAGAACTAAAGCAGTGAGAATGAGTGATCCCTGGCAAAGATCTGAGGCTCCAAAAGAAATCTGAAGTGACAATTTTACAGTCAACTATGAGCTTTTAGAGGATTTCTGGATAAATTGACCTCCAGATTGAGGAAATTCTTCTCACTAGGAAATCAGTTTTATAAAGCAAGAAAAAAATGTAAGGTGTTGATTAAGATAGAAGAGAAACTAAGCACAGACTTGGTTATGGAAGAGAAAAGAAGCGAATGATGGAATTTAAGAGCTTAGCCCAGGAACACAGACGGAGTTAGGGTTTAGGATGACTCAGACAGCAGCTTCAACTAAAAGTTGGGGAGAGGGAGGGACAGAAGGTGACATGGGACCAAATGAGGTATTGCATGCTATTCCTGGGAAAAGCATGAAAAAAGTGCTTATAGTTTTAAACCCGTGCCAAACTAGCCAAACAATTAAAAAAATACATCTGTGTGTCCCCTACTCTATATTAGTAATGGGATCTGAATGCTGGGCTACAGAAGACTAAACCTCCTTTCTACTTAAGGGGCAAATCTGTGCATACCTCACAGCAGTTGCTTTCAAATTTTAGAGGAAAGAGAAGTAACTCAGGAGAAAAATAACAAGGAAAAACCAAAACTACTGAATATCTCCTCTATGTCGGGTACTGTGCTAAGCACCACAATACCCATCATCCAATGTCATTATCACAATTTGTAGAGAGCTACCATTATCCTGCTTTAGAGAAGAGGACGTTTAACTCACAGAGGTTAAGCAATGTGATCAAGATTCACACAGGTGGTAAATGGTAGACACCACTCCCCCCAAAAATTGAACCCAGATTAATTAATTCCAAAACCTATATATTTACTTGTACAATAATCTGTCATTGGAGAAAAGGCTGCCTCACATCATTGCCCAAGAAAAATAGTAGGTGGAATTCAACTGGTGAAATTTCCATGCAGAAGCTGTTGTAATGAGTTCACACTTCTTCCCTATGGCCAAGCATCATCATGTCATTCCTCTTAACTCACGGGTAAAGTATTCGGCACCTTGTTGCCTTGGCTCCTACTCACACATTCACTTCCATGTTTCACTGACGGCCAACAAGCAGTCCACACACTAGCCCTCACACTAATGAAGACCATAAATCTACAGAAAATGCTGGCTGGGTTCAAGCTGTAACCTCCCACAAGGCAATAGCGTGTCGTGGATGAGTGTTGAGACTCTGGGGCTACGCTGCCTGAGTTTGCATTCTGGCTCTACAACTCCTCACTGAGTTACCTCGGAAGAGTTCCTGAACTTTCCTATGCCACAGTTTCCCATCTGTAAAACGGGTATGAAATCGTCAGGGTTAAATGTATCCACACACATAAAGCACTTACAATAGTGTCTATGGCTTACACTGTTAGCTATTACTACTAATGCGGTATTCTTTTTTTTTTTCCTTTCTCTGAAGTGATTTAATCATTTTCCAGTTATTTCACTTACTGTTTTTCTCTCTTTTATTAAAATGCAAGCTCTTTTTAAGTAGGGAACACTTCCTGTGTCTTCTGAATGTCCCGCAGTGCTTAGCCGAGGGGCCTGAGCACAGCAAGCACTCCCAGCTCAGGGTCTGGATCCTCACCTTTTATGCACATGAGGTTTCTGGCCAACACTAAGAGCTCAGCAAAAAAAAATAATATAATGGGAAGGGCTGAAAGGCAGCAATTCGGCTTCCCACGGCTCCCAGAGTCAGGAAGAGTAGTTAAGAAAATGAAGGTTTATAGCATCCCAGTAAAGGATCTTCACATTTTGCCCGCCATTCTCTAGCTCCTCTGATCCCTCACCGTTTCTCCATGATATCAGCACTTTTCAAAAGTGTATGCTGTAAAATACTTTATTAAAATAAAGTTTCGGGAGCCAAATAACAAATACTGCATACTTATCAATGATTAGGAATGTACATTAGCTTATTAAAATCTCTTAATAAATCTTTCGATAAAGAACTGGAAATGGAACGGCACAGTGGCTAAGAGCCCAGGCACTGGGGCCAAACCACCCATATTCAAGGACTCCACTTTCATTTTGTTTAACCTAACGTTTCTTAACCCTATGTTATCTAGGTTTTTTTATTATTATTATTACTAACATGAGAAAAAAGTTTTAAACGGAAAACGATTTTTACAGCTTGGTGCGAATGTACTCTATAAGGTAAGGGAGGGCGAAGTCAACACGGACCAAAGTAGTCAACAGAGGGTTGAATTCTTGAACCAGCAAGAAGTTCTGGGTGGAGTCGGTGGTCCATGCAGCATTAGGCCCCACTTCTGAGGAGCATAACCCAAGTGAGCTATTCTTTCAATTTATTCTTAATAATAGAAATATAGCTCAATCAATCAATCTTTATTAACTGTCAGCTGAACTTAATACTTTTCCAAGAATACAGTCATATTACAATAAATGAAAAATACCGGGTTGAGGAATATTTTTTTCCTTGCTTTTCAGTTTTTGAGTCTGACCTATT